GAAAAAGATTGAGAGAAGTGGGATGTATGGTATTGATCATAGGGGGACAACAGGGCAGTCTCAGTCATCAACCTCCCTGATGCCAAAGGAGCATCAGGAAAACACATCGAGTGGAGGTGATTCTGAGTCTGTGGAGAGACAGACGATGCAAAAGGATAATAGTAATGATGAAGAATCAGGTGAGGGGGCCCCCAAAAAATAGTGGACAGAGAGGTTACAATTGGGAAAAGCCTAGGTCTGTTTTATTGGGGTGGTGAGGAGTTTGCTAGAAAGGCTTTTGAGGAGTTCGAAAGGAGAAGAAAGGAAGAGAAGCTGAATAAAGATGCCCATCCGAAAAAAGACAAGATATGGGATGATGATGTTTTAATCCAAGAGGATATGTCCACAGAGATTCTTGAAGTCATGACTGCGGCAAGGAGGGGTTTTTATTTTCTGTTTTCTTGATGGACTGTTGGGCTATGTTTTCTGGGGGTTGGTTTGGGGTGTTCCTTTTGTCATCAAGTTATGTGGGTTTGGGGTTTCAAAGGGTCTTTGAGACTTGCTTTTCTTCCCTCGGTGATATCTTATCACCTCCCTGATGTATCCCTTTTTTTTAATAAAATCTTATCTTTATTTTTCAAAAAAAAATGAAATGAGCAAGAATAGTTTGCAAATTGGATTTGGAGGACTATAACTTGGCGGATTGGTCATTCTTGCTGGAGGTAATGAGAAATTGTGGGTTTGGGGAGAGATGGTGTGAGTCATGGGATGCCTTAGGACTTGCCATTGTTCAATTTTAGTGAGTGAAACAATGGTGGACTTCTCTGCTATTCAGCGAATCGAACAGGGTAATCTTCTCTCTCCCTTTCTATTCACCTTCATTGTTGATGTCCTTAGTACGATAATGTCAAGGAAGACATGGAACTATTAGTGAGAGGGTGGAGAGTAGGTATCGATGGTTTATGAATTACCCACCTGCAATTTACAAATGATATGATCCTTTTCTTTGAAGGAGGTGAGCTAAAGGTGGGTTAGGAACTTGAAATTAATTGTGCAGCACTTTGAGCAAATGCCTAACCTGAAGGTGAATTTCAATAAGAGATGCATCATAGGGGTTAACATAGAAGAGAGGTAACAGAATGTGCAACTATTTTGGGGTGTGTTGTATCTCAGTGACCTGTGAAATATCAAGGTTTGCCCCTTGGAGATAATCCAAAGAAACTTGAACTTCTGGAATCTAGTGTTAGAAAGATTTGCTAAGAGGCTTGCTTGTTGGAAAAAGAACTACCTCTCATTAGGTGGAGGATTACCCTAATTTGGTCTACCCTAGCTAACTTTCATATGTATTATTTGTCTATATTCAAGCTTCCAAAAGGTGTGGCTAGGAGATTTATGAAGATAATGAGGGATCTTTTATGGGAACCAAGGAGGGGAAGAGGGACCACAGGATTCATTGAGAGGTGGTTAGTAGAAATAAAAAAATTTGGTGGACGGAGAATATTCAGAAAGGAATTTGGCTTTGCTGGAGAAGTGGATATGGAGATTGCCCCAAGATATAGGGATAAGCTATGGGTAAAGGTGATATTGACCATTCATGGGCTTTCAACTAATGGATGGGATATTGGAGCACTAGTTAGGGCAACCCAAGCTTCTCCTTTGAAGACTATTCATGTGGTCTTACCTTCTTTCCTTCCCTTTGTCAGGTATGATCCTTGTATTGAGGACTGTATTAAACTTTGGGAACATGTTTGGGTGGGAAACTCCTCTCTTAAGGACCAATTTCCTTCTTTTTTGTGCTTTTTGACTTCAAAGATGAGCCTTTATCCACTTTCCTTGAACCTTCTAACTTAAGAAATGGATTTGACTAGGATTTGGGCTTTAGAAGGGGCACAAGGGACTTATAATTAAATAGTGTTCTTGCTTTACTCCAAACTCTTGATGGAGTCTTCCTGGATCCCACCAAACCTGATAGCCCAATTTGGAACCACTCTCCTTCTAGCTCTTTCTCTTATGCTTCCTTTTTCAAGGCTTTAACTCAACTTGCTTTCAGCTCTTTAGAATCTTTTCCTATCAAAGGTCGAAGCTTTTTGCTAGGATGTTTTCCATGAAAAAATTAACACTTGTGACTTACTCCAAAGAAAGGGGCCTAAGTGTGTCATGTGTAATGCCAATGGTGAGACTTTTTTTTTATCAGCAAAAGAGAATTTTATTTGAAATTAGGTTAAAATAAGGTTTTACAGCTGTGTATGGGATTAAATCTCCCATACTATTACAAATTTCTGTCCCACTTTACGTTGCAGCCCAAAATAATTGTTGCCTTAAAGCCCCTTGCTTAGCAAGATAATCAGCTAGCTCATTTGCACTCCTTCTAACCCATTTGAATTCAGCCTCTACCTCCCTTGCGACCTTTTCCACTTCCCTTATCACTTGTTTGAAGGTCCACAGAATACTTCTATTGTTTTTAGCCCAAGAAATGATGGTGAGACTTGTTATCACTTATTAATCTCCTTTCCTCTTGTTGTATGTATTTGGGTATAGCTTTTCTCTTTGTTTGGGTGTAGGTGCAATCCCCTAAAGGATGTATAAAGTTTGTTTGCACTAACAACTTTTGCTTGGCCATAGAAAAGGAGAAGGATCATGTGGAGATGTATATGCGCTGCGATAAGATGGGCTATTTGAGAGGAAAGAAAATCAAGAATTTTCTTGGAAAACGAGAGAAGCATGGAAGCTATTCTTGAAAATATCATAAGGCGAGAAGGCCAGAGGAAATAGGTCAGCTGGCTGTTTCTAAACAGAGATCCTGGATTTCAGTCACCCCAGAATTCAAACATGTATATGTAGCTCAATTATTGAGAAATCAGTCAATTTGGTGTTTGTAATGGAGGGTCCCCAGGCCTGCCTTGTTGTTGGCAGGTTTCTGTTTGTACTCTTAAAAGTTTAGTCTAATAAATTTAGCTTACCTTTTCAAAAAAAAAATGATTAGTGGTGCTCATTGATTGAAGTCTTTGGAAACCTTTTCTAACATTTATATAGGTGGCCAGTGATTTAAAAGGTACACCTAGGCGCACAGGCGAGGTGCATTTTAGGGTATGTGCCTCGCCTAGGTCCTAGGCGCAGCCCTTCCAAAAGGCACACACCTGGTGCACCTAGGCATGCGCCTTGCGCCTCAGCCCATGCGCCTTTTGAAAATTTGACGCCTTTTTGCTTTTTTTGAACATAGTGGCTGGGTTTATCTTTCACTAATTAAGAGGGTTTATCTTTCACTAATTAAATCTTTATATTGTACTCATTAATTACTTTTTCTCTATTAATGAATTTTCACTGATATTGATAAAAAAAAAAGGATTCAAGCCCAGAAACATTTTCTTCAGTGGCTAAAATTGGATGTGTATAATTATTTCCATAATTGTTAACCATAGCTGGCATCTCAACATAATGCCAATAATGTTTTCTTACATGGTGAGTTACAAGAAGAGGTCCATATGGAGCAAATACTAAGGCTTACTGCTTAAGGAGAGTCAAGAAAGATATGCAAATTAAAGAAAGCTATTTATGGATAGAAGCATTCTCCTGCATTTTTTTCGATATGCACCTCCTGCATGGTTTGGTCATTTTAGTGTTTGTTTCACAATATTAAAATACAACCAATGCACCATATCATTATTATAAATAGACACTTGAAATTTTGTTTGTCTTCTCAGTTGTTAGGGTCGATTCAACACAGGAAACTGCTCAACAAAAGTTCCTTTAAGACTAGTGCTGTGAAATGCACTTCTTTAATTTATTCATAGTATGTTAATTTATTTGTCACTTATTTGTTTATTTTTGTTTCACTAGCCATTCTTATGGTTATGTATTTAGTGTTTCCAGCCATTCTGTTCAAGTGTTAATTACTTTTGTTACATATATGCTGAAGTGAAAAGGATTTGGGGTTTTCTCTCTAGGTGACTAGGCATTCGCCTTTGCTTAGCTCTGCCTTGGCACATAAACAACTATGCAAGGCAAATAGGGGCGAACAGGTCCAAAAAAAGTGTTTTTGAGGAAAAAAAAAAAAAGTAAGTTATTCCAGTAGCAGACAACTCATGCTACTGGAAATAAGTTAAGGCTTTCAGTTATATAAACTGATAACTCCAAGATAATTTCAAACAGGTGCATAGGGACGAAATTGTATTGGGGGAGTCTTTAGGAATGAGGATGGGAATGTTTCAGCAATTTTCTCAGGCCCAATTGGTGAAGACGACTCTCTTGGGGCTGAGATTTATAATGCATTGGAAGGAATCCAAAGAGCAAAAGAAATGAAATAAGGAGGCTTGTAATTGAGGGTCATTCAGAGGTGGTAGTAGGTTGATTAAAAGAGGACAGGCTGGTATATGGAGTTACAGCAATGAAAGGAAAAAATTTAAATGGCTGGCCAAGGACATTGAGATAAAGTACAGCTGGGTAAAGAGATCTGCCAACTCATTTGCAGATGGGTTATCCAAGCAAGGGGTGCTTAGGGATTCTTTGTTTTGGGCTCAATTTCAGTTCTGTTTTACTGTTTTTCTTTTGGGGCCCAGCCTCATTGGGGGGAGTGAAGATAGTTTATCTCCCCTGTTGTACTTAAGTTCTTTACTTATTAATGAAAGTCTCTTGTTATTGATCCAAAAAAATAATCCTACGTAGACTGAAGAACATCAAACTTCACTGTCCAATATTCCAAGCTTGAGTAGTCTTTTAGAGTGAAATGTCATAATTCATAGAAAATTGATACTAGATAGCAAGGACATAAGAGATTCCTGCAGCCAGGTAAAGAAAACAAAATAAAAAGTTATGGTAAATTGAATTGCAATGATGCTTCTATCAACCATAATGGCAGAGCTAGCGCATGTGGAGTTATTATGGGTAACCAAAAAATGAAAAATTGAAATTACCATCATGCACAATGTAACAGTTATCCAAAGAGTAAGTGATTTCTCAGATGGTTGCCTGAAATCATAAATTTGGCATGTGAAATGGAAATATGACAAGTGAGCAACACCCACACAAATTATTCTGGCCAACGAAAGGTAAGGCTGGGTAGCTGGTATTGAAACACAAATTGCAAGGACACCATTGGCTTTTTCCTTCTCTTCAGTGTAAAACTTTTGGTAGATCTGGACACCTGCAACATTTCTTGTCATTATCTATGATTGGCACCATAATAAATAAGGATTTTTTTTCTCTTTTGATATGCAACAGAAAATGATTTCATTCCATAAACCCTACTGTCCAAAATCTGAACAGAAAGGAAAGCAAGATGTACAATCAGGAATCCTCCCTCTTTACCCCTGCATTGGCTAATGCATCAGCCAGTATATTTGCAGATATAGGAACCCATCTGAACAAGCCACTCAAATTTTGCCCTAGAGTCTGCACACGTTTGATCATTGTTCTATATCTCCAGGGTATTTCCTCCTTGCTTCTTATCCGGCTTAGAATTACTAGGGAATCTCCTATCATAATTTCTGCCAACCCATGTTGTTTCAAGCTTCAGACCTCGTAGTAATGCCAATATCACAGCTTTCAAGGAATTATTGAAACCAGTTGAGCCTGAATAGCTTAGGAGAGTATTACCATCATGATATCTAACAAGTCCTCCAATACCTGCCACTCCCTGGCTATCCAAACTGCAGCCATCAAAGTTAAGGATTTTAACTTTGATTTTAAATGAGTTATCTTTACTATTATTGCATGTAGCCATGAAAAGAATATAAACAGAAAACAAGAGAGGAAGTCCAGGAGTAAAACTTGGAAAGAATAAAAAACATGGACTTGGGAACGCACCTAAAGAAAAGCATATACTACAAAAATTGTCATAGACTTTGAATTCTAAAATCTCATACTGTTGAATCTTTTTTTTTATGAATGTTGAATCAGAAATTTGTGTTGGCTTGCTTTTATGATCAACTTTTCATCATCAACATACAATTAACATAGTCACACAAGCATCAACTCTCCTTACGACTAGGGTATGATTTACTTGTGATTGTAAGAATCCAATTTTGAATACAACCTTTCTAAATCTATCAAACCAAGCTTTAGGTAATTGCTTGAGACCATAGAGAGATTTCTTCAAGCAACACACTTTCCCATCCTCTCTGAAATGTTTACCCTTGGAGGCAATTACGTATACACCTCCTCTTGAAGATCTCCATTAAGGAAGGCATTCTTTACATCCATCTAATACAAAGGCCAAGAATGGTTGGCTGCAAGAGACAAGATGCCTCGAATGGAGTTCATTTTGGCTACAAGAGGCAAAGCTCCCTTGGTAATCAATCCCATGAGTTTGAGGATATCCTTTTACTACCAAGCGAGCTTTACACCTTTTAATTGAACCATCAACCCTATGTTTGACAGTGTATACCCACTTATAGCCAATAGGAACCTTGTCCTTAGGAAATCAAACAATTTCCTATGTTTGGTTCCCTATGAGAGCCTCCATCTCCTAATTCAAAGCATCCTTCCATTCTAGGGACTGCACTGCCTCTATAACACTATGAGGGACAAGAACAGAGGTGATAGTATTTATATAAGCATAATAATAAGGAGATAAAGCAGCATATGAAATGTAGTTAGAGATAGGGTAAATAGACAGATAGAGAAAAACTTTATGTATTGTCTCCTACCTTTACAAAGTACAATAGGAAGGTTAAGATCAAAGGGATTAGAATGTAAGGTATCAAATTCAGTAACAAGTGTAGCAAGAGGCTCAAGTTCAAGATCACCTAAATCCAAAGCATCAAATTGTGGTGGACATTTATTTCAGGTGCAACCCTCCTCCATTGCTTGAAGAAACACCAATGCCAGCAAGATGTGGCACACTATCACTCCAAGCAGAAGGAGAAGAAAATGGATTCGAAGTGGCAATAGGAATTGGATCTAGAACAGGAAAGCAAAAGAGAGTTCAAACTTCACTAGCATTCTCCCCCTAAAGAGAAAGATGATAAGATTGAAAAGAAAAGGTGTGGACTCAAGATAGCTAACATTCTTGGATACAAATTTAGTACCAAAATAAGGATCAAAGCATCTATACCCCTTTTGAATGGGAAAATAACCAAGGAAGACACACTTGATAGACTTGATCAAATTTCCGACAAGGACTCATGTCATGGACAAAGTAGACACAACCAAGCACTTTAAGAGAAAGACTGAAGGTAGACTCATCTAGGATAAGGAGTTGATGAGGATACTTCAATTGAAGTGTCCGTGAAAGAAATCTATTGATAAGACAAACAACTGTTTGAACTACATCACCCCAAAAATGGGTTGAGACATGCATCTAACAAAGCAAGCCCCTAGCAACTTCAACCACATGTCTATTTTTTTTCTAAAACTCCATTATTAAGACATATGAGGACATGAATTTTGGTGAATTACACCCTTTTCTATAAACAAAGTGCTTAGATGCTTCTCAAAGTACTCCTTTGCATTGTCAAATCTTATTATTTTAATTTTTTCTCAATTTGATTTTTTTTTGATCAGCAAGAAATTTTTTAATTAATAACAAAAGGTTACAATCAGTTACAATAGTTATAGGTTGCAGAAAAGCACTAATCTAATCTGCAACCACATACAATCAGCTACAATTCTGCCCAGTACAATGTAGATCTGTTTGCCCCCTGTTTTGCTAGGGTATCCGCCATCTCATTTGCATTCCGTTTAACCCAACCAAACTAAGAGTTGATCCTCCTTGCAAGTATGTCTCTGAAGATAAATTTGAGCTTCCAAGGTAAAGATGTGATGTTTTTAGCCCAAGAAATGACCAGTAGTGAGTTTCCTTCTATTTCTAAGTCTGTTGTTCCTATCTGCTCAGCCATCTTTAGACCTTGAAGTAGGGCTAGAGATTCAACCTGTATTGAGTCACCAATACCTATTGGTCCTGAGAAGAGTGCCACCACCACACCCAGATGATTTCTAATCACACCCCCTATGCCTGCCCTTCCTGGGTTACCAAAAGAACTCCCATCAAAGTTTAGTTTTAGTTTGTTCAGTGCCAGTGGCTTCCATTCCGCACTCACAATTACTTTGGATGCATCTGTTTGTGCTACTTCAGCCCAACTTCTTAGAATCTCATTCATGGAGAAATTTTTGAATAGCTCCATGGTCTTCACCCAATGTGCAGTTCTGATTTTTATGGCTTCAATAACTTCCTCCTCTGATTTACTTTTTTCAGAGAAAATTCTTAGGTTTCTTTCCTCCCATATAGTCCATACTGTAGCTGCTCTTGTTGCCTCCCATAAGCACTTTCCTCTTTTCTTCTATTGTCTCAGGAAGGAGGGGCTGAAAAGACTTACCACATCCTGTTGGGGAGCCCATCTGCATCCAAGGAGAGAACAAACCACATTCCAAATACCAGAAAAAAAAAGAGCAGGATAAAAGTAAGTGGGTTAGGGTTTCACCACAATCCATACAAAGGACACACACATGAGGAGAGAGGCATTTGTTTGGCCTCCTTTTCTGTAGCACATCACAAGTGTTTACCTTCCCTAGAAACACTTCCCAACAGAAAGCTTGTACTTTAGGAGGGATCGGTTTACACCAGATTTCTCTCACTAGGAAGTTCATCCCCATAGGATCAGACTGAGTGAGCAAACCAAAGAAAGATGCACAAGAAAATAAACCATCAGGAGTTGGGGACCAAACTCTACTATCAGCTATAGATTGGTCTAAGTAGACCCTCTCAAGTGTTGAGATCAAAAGCACTAGAGACTCACATTCATTTTCCCTCAACCCTCTTTTGAATCCAAAATCCCAAGAGATACCCAAATCTGAAAGCATACCAAACCTAGCAACAGGTTTGTCTTTAAGGTTTGATAAGGAGTAGAGATTTGGGAATTTAACCATAAGAGGCACATCCCCAACCCAAAGGTCTTCCCAGAATAAAACTTTATTGCCACATCCAACATCAAACCTGATAAATTGAAGAAAGGTTGGTAATACCTCAAAGATTGCTTTCCAGGGAGAAATTGGAGCTGCACTGGAAGCTACTTTTGCATCCCAGCCGTTATCTGCTTCACCATGAATGCTTTTAATGACCCTGTGCCACAACCTATCTTCTTCACAAGGGAATCTCCACAGCCATTTCCCTAGAAGGACCTTATTTTTCTTTAATATGTTCCCTATACCTAGGCCGCCCTACCCCTTAGGGTAACAAACTTGCTCCCACTTCACTAAATGATCCTTCTTTTCATCGCCAGGCTCCCACAAAAAAAAATCCCTCATAATCTTCTCCAACTTCCTAGCTATTTTCACCGGGATCTTAAAGGTGGAGAGGAAATAAGTGAGTAGGTTTGCTAGGGTAGATTTTATCAAGGTGATTCTTCCCCCCAAGGAAATATAATTTCTCTTCCACATTGCCAACTTCTTTGTGAACCTCTCTAACACTGTCTTCCAGAAGCTTTTAGCTTTCGGATTCCCCCCAAAGGGCATACCTAAGTATTCTAGAGGCCAGCTTTTCACTTCACAGCCTAGCAAATTTGACATGGCTTGGATGTCACCCTCCCCAATGTTTATTCCAGCTACACAACTTTTTCCCCAATTCACTTTTAGGTTGGAGGCCTGTTGAAACTTATCCACCAATCTTTTCAGATTCCTTAAACTGGATTCATCACAGCTTTCACAAAAAATGATTATATCATCAGCAAATTGCAAGTGAGACACCACCACTTCTGATCTACCCATCCTCCAACCTTTAAACTGGTTATCTTGGTCAGCCTTGGTGATTTGTCCACTCAAGACCTCAGCCACAAAAGTGAATAAGAATGGGGATAAGGGATCACCCTGTCTGAGTCCTCTTTTAGCTTGGAAGAAATCCTTTGCTACCCCATTCATCAGAATAGAAAAATGTGCCGAGCTAATACATCCTTTAATCCACATCCTCCATCTTTCACCTAACCCCATCTTTTCCATGAGATTCAACAGGAATGACCAATCCACCATATTATAAGATTTTTCTAGGTCCAATTTACAGATCAAGCCTTTGCCACCTTGTTTTTTCTTAGCTGCCACACATTCATTTACTACTAAGATTTGATCCACAATTTGTCTCCCTTCTACAAAGGCTCTTTGGTTCTGAGAGATAACATAGGGCAAGACAGTCTTCAATCTACCAAATAGGACTTT